TTTTTGCAGCAAAAGCTGAATTACAAAGGTTTAAAGCAATAGGTAGTTATAAAATCGAATTACATCTAGAATTCTTAATTATATACAAATATTTACAAGTATTTACAATGAGTGAGTTTTGTTGTAGTTTATAGCACTTGCGTTCAAAAACGTATTTTTGAATCTATTTGTTTTACAACAAGGGATGGCAAAGGGACGGTTTCTTCGGAGGTTCACTTTGTTTTCTTTAGTATTTGGTTGTAGATACTTAAATAATTGTCCTTCTTGTCGCGCAACAATTTTGTTGAAAAGGAAGGAGCACAATTCATCTCTACATTGAGACAGACTGGGAATTCTAGAGATCGCTAAGGCTTGTTCGTAAGGTGTATCATAACCATGAATGATCCTCATGGCTCTCTTTTGAATTCGTTCCATATTTATACTAAGATATTCAGGTAAATTGTGGTGGAACACTTGACAAGCGTATAATAGAACTGTTCTTATGCATGCAACATAAAAGTTTGTTAGTTGCTTCACTGGAACATTTGGGCGTTTCAGTTTAACTAAAAATTATAATCTCTTAGCTGCTTTTTTTATCGAAGGAATATCAATGTGCAAGTTCCACTTAAGATCGTCTTGAATCGTTACTCCTAAAATCTTTATTGAATTAACAAGTTCCACTGAATTATTTCCAATAGTAACTGGGGTATGTTGCCGTTTTATACGAGTGAACGAGATACACAATTCTTTGGATTTTGTTGGATGTAACTGGAACTTGTTTGTGTTTGACCATTGTTGGATCTCGTTCATTGGTATCTGCACTGTGCTTGATTCACCCTTTTTGATGACTTTATAAAATGTGGAGTCGTCGACGTATTTAAACAGATCATCTGGTGAAGGCGCTTCAAGATCGTTGATCATAACTATGAACAGCCAAAGTCCAAGTTTTGTTCCTTGGGGAACTCCTGCTGGTACTATACCCCATTCGGAGTAACAGTCTTGACCCAACTTCACTCTTTGTTTTCTATTTTTTAGGAAATCTAATATCCAATTTATGATGCGAGGGTTAATTTCATAACCACAAAGTTTGGAAATTAACGAATTGTGGTCTATGAAATCAAAAGCTTTCTTATAGTCCAGAGCGAATACTCTGACATCTACACCACTTCCATCAGTCGCTTTAGACCAGCTATGTACCATGCTAATTAAAGCATGAGTAGTTGATAAATTTGGAACACATCCAAATTGATCAGGTTTAATACATTTCAAAATAGCTGGCTTGACAAATGATTGTACCAAGAAATCTTCGGCAATTTTGGACAATGTTGGGGTCAACGAAATCGGCCTTAAGTGATTTGACATGTCTTCAATTATTGGTTCCTTAGGTAGAGAAGTTATATTTGCTTTTTTCCATATAGTGGGTAGCGCTTCTTCTTCAAAGTAGGAGTTAATCATTTTGGCCACAGGAATACCTAATTCAATAGCAAACTCTTTTAATGACCAGTTCGGAATATTATCTGGACCATTGCTTTTAACTGTACTAATCGCTTTTAGTTTATGCGCTACATCAATAGGTGTAACCATTGAAAGTTCACTGTTTTCGATGTTTAGTCGAAAATTATTCTCTATCTGGTGAAAGGGGCGGAGAGGTTCAAGGAAGGCATTGTTAATGTCATTTGCTAGCTGTAATCCGTCAGATGGTGTAATGTTTTCATTTGGCAATAGTTGCGCTGCAATGTCAGATGGTTTACATGTCATACCACATAATTGCTTGCATGTAGACCTCCATAATTTTGGATTAGTGCCCTCGTATTCCTTTACTTTACTCTGATAGTAATTAGCCCGACAAAATTTCCTCTCTTTATTTACACGATTTCTATAGAATTTAAAAAGGGCTTGATTGCCTTGGGCTAGGGCTTTCTGGCAACAGTTAATAAGATCCTTTAGTTGTGCAGTCATCCATGGTGCATTGTTGGTGTGAATTCGAACAGTTTTTAAAGGCATTATAGTGTCAATGCCTGCCTAATTATTGTCAGCGCTAGGTGGGTGATAAACAACACCAATTCTTAAGTAGGAAAACCCACGAGGAAGTCGATTACGGTCTATTTTACACCACAGAACTTTGGCTTTCATTTCGGGATCCTGGAGACAATTTAGAACTGTAAATTTCATTGAGTCTTTAATGTAAATACAAACACCGCCATGTTGAGCAAATGTTCTGTCTTGCCTTACTAAGTTGAAACCACGAATATCAATAGCACTATTTGGGACAGTATTCTTTAACCATGTTTCTGTAAAACAGCCGATTTCTATTTCGTTATTCCTCATGAAATAGTTTGTTTCGTCTATTTTTGGTGAAAGAGACATAACTTTTGCGAGTGATATAGTAGGATATTAACTATGGATGCACTATTCATATTACATGGTATGCATACAGTAGTGAATACTAAAATACTGCTACAGGATTTTCTTTATTTTAGTCACAAAAGACTATCAGGTATTATGGCAAACACCAAATATATTTTCAAAATATCAAATTCAATCTATCATCAAATATTTTTTCACAATCCTGGACATAATTGATGTGGACAGGACAATTTAGAAGCAAATTTAGGTAAATCCTGTAAATCTGGCCAAGTTTATGCAGATCCCTCACTCCCCCATGTCAATGTTGGTTCCTAACATACTCATCTCTTGATTTTGCCAAAGTTGAGCAACATCTCAAGATAGCGATAAACGTCTACTTTTAAGACACCTTCCGACAGCATGTTTGCTTTTAAGTCACCATGCATTGTCAAGCACCTTTCCCCTTGTGCTTCAGCGCATCATACTCTTCGTACTCAAATGCTTTTTCATGGCAACAAAACAATTCTATATTCTTTGGTTTTAACCTGCTATGCCTATATTTACACCAACTGAGACTATGAAGATGCCAGACATTTTCAACCTTAAAGGCCGGGAGACACGTGCGATTTTTCTCTTGCGCGAGCAATGCAACGGGGAAAGGTGCTTGACAATGCAAGCGCGAGTGATAAAATTGCACGTGTCGCATATCTTGCGCGGCAACGCAATTGTAACGTGATACGTTCTGCATTTGTTGCAGGAAAGTTGAAATGCTTGAACTTTTCGCAACAGTTGCAAAAGATATCAAATGACACACACATTGTTTATGCAAGAAACGCAGCGGGTTTTTTTAACCAGCCAATAAAATTGCTCTATTTATGGCCAGTTTACTGTAGCGCAGGCTCATTTCTTTCTCGTTTGAATTTTGATCTTCACAAGAAACAAGCATGGACGATTACTTCGAAGCGTCTCAAGATCTGGTCGATATTGTCCAAGAGAAAATATCAGCAGATGATGTTAAAGTACTTTTAGAGTTTTATCGTGAGCACCCTATTCTTTGGAAGGCCTCGCACCCTCAATATCGAAACTATATAGAGAAAAACAAGGTGAAAGACGAGCTAGTAAAATCGCTTGAGTACAGATTCACAATAGAAGTTCTCGAGAAAAAATATCATAGTCTACGAACATCCATGCAGCGTGAAGTCAAACGGCAGCTTGAACAGACTGAAGAACCAGCAGCAAAGTAACCAAAAAGGCCTTGGGTGCATTAAGAGAACATGATTTTTATGAGGGAAGAAATTGAACAAGGTAAATAAATATGACTACTTCCATTCTTCAATGCCATTCAAATGTTTGAAGTTTTCTATTAAATGAGGTTTGTATGTTTAATAAATAAGAAATCTTTGCTGTACAGAGATACTAAAGAAGAAAAGTGACAAAGAGAACGGATTCACTGAGGATGATCGACAGCAACTTATTGAATTTTATAAGGAGCACCCAATGTTGTGGAACCCACATGAGAAAGAGTACAGAAACCGAGATCTAAAGCGGATAAATTTGGAACGCCTGGTTGCACAATTAGGTTCGCGGTATACTGTGGACAAAATTCAGCAAGAGTGGCATAACCTTGCAACATATTTTGATAGAGAACGGTTAAGAATGGAAGGAAGTAAGAAATCGGGTGCTGGTGCTGATGAAGTGTACCAGTCAAAATGGCCTTATTATACAGCCATGGAATTCCGCATGGATAAGTCAATTCCAGACACTGCAGTTTCAACACTACACCACATTGCCCCAACTCCGAAAAAGTTGAAAAAGATTAACACAGAGGAACAAAAAGCAAAATTGTGGGAAGTTCTTGCAGACAGGCTAGCTGGTACCAGTCAAAGTCAGGTAGATTGGCAACAAGCATGGCAGCAAGGATTCCAAGCTGGTTTCCAACAAGCATGGCAGCAAGTTTTTCACAGATGTTCATGCAAATGCAATCACAAGCACCCCAAAGCATCAGGTTTCATCCTACCCCATCCTACTTGCCTCAATCTATACCACAGTCATTCACACCACCACCAACCCAGTCGCCTTCACCACAGCAGCACCAGTCATTCACACCACCACCAACCCAATTGCATACACCACAGCGGCACCAGTCATTCACACCACCACCAACCCAATTGCATACACCACAGCGGCACCAATCATTCACACCGCCACACACCCAGTCATCTACACCACAACAGTCCTTTACACCTCCCAGTAATCTGACAGCTACACCACAACACCACAAACCCTTCAACCGCCATGGAAGATTCAACCCCAGTGATGGCATGTGTATTGATTGTGGGAGAATCACAAAATATTATTGTGTGGATTGCGATAGATGTATCTGCAATGTGTGCTCCACACCAGTAGACCCAGGTCAGTCGGAAAACTACTGTGAGGAAGGTGAACATAGGCGAATAGCGCAATGTAAAGATTATGAATTTAGAATTTAGAGCTAAAAACTGATTATTGTGAACTTGTATATATTTATATCTATTAAGATAATATTGTATTTTTTACCACTAAAGTTTCATTGTCATGTATTTATAATTGTTAATAAATTTAATATCTCGAAACAATGTGTCAATATTAAGTATAAATTGTGAAACACAACACAATTAAATGTTGAGTGGTAATCCTCATTGATCTACATGTGCACTCTTCCATTGCCAGGCTACTGCCCCTTCCATCATGAAATAGTTTGTAAATTCCTGGCGGATTTCTTTTGCTTCAAATGTTGGGTTGTAGGAACGAAGAGGGCGAACTCTTTCCCAAGATGAGGACTCGCCAGAGTTGCGCCACAGCCCTGGGATCACTCCACCTGTCACAGGATCTTGCTGGTCAGCAAAGCCAGGTGGGATGTAGACTTTCCCAGCATCTGAGCTACTTCTAAGGAAATTGTGCAATACAATGGCACCTAGTGTCACTATAGTTGCTTTGTCAGGTGGCAACAGCATATAGCCCCGAAAAACCCGCCATCGGTTGGCTAAAATGCCAAATGCATTTTCAGAAATTCTCCGACATCTTGAAAGGCGATAATTAAACACTCTCTTCTGCTCTGTTAAGCCTGTGTTGGCATAAGGTTTCATCATGTATGATGTCAAACCAAATGCATCATCACCAACACAAACATATGGGATAGGTTTTGTCCGGCCAGGGAGTGGTTTGGGGCTTGGTATTGACAGAGGATTGTCAACATCAGCAAGAGCTACCCGGAATTCATTGCGTGCCCAGTTTCCACCATCAGACATTCTGCCATTCATACCAACATCAGCGAATACAAACTCATATTCTGGGCCAATTACTGCCATCAATATAATACTATCATTACCTGAAAATGAAAGATATACAAATAAGTCTTGGTGAATTTATACTCTTTTTACACCACTAAAATGTAACTCACCCTGATTACTTTACAAAAAAAGTGTTATTGGTGCAAACTTACCTTTGTAGTCATGATAGTGGGAACCAGATTTTCTTGGCTGTTCCAACAGAATTCTCTTCCCATCTACAGCCCCCAAAGCGTTCGGAAAGTTCCACCTGGCTTCAAATTTGCTGGATAACTGAAGCCAATCTTCCCTGGACTTTGGGGTGGTAAGGTATTGAGGTCCCATGACCTCATATAGGGCTTTGCAGACGCTCATCACAATTTTTGAAATTGAATGTCTGCTTATCCTGAACTGGTACTCCAGAGAGTGGAATGATTCGCCCGTCGCCAAATATCGGAGAGTCAAACAACACATTTCTGCTGGCTTGATTGACTCACGCATTACTGTGTCTTTCTTGTGTAGCGTTTTAGATAAAACATTGACAAGCTTATTGAAATGTTGAAAATCCATTCGCATGAAATTTTCAAATCCTGGTGTGTCGTGAGCAGCTAATTCATGATAAAGCTGACTAAAATGGCCTTTCTTGTTCCTCTCTAAAAGCCAGTGCCGGCTCCAAATGCGTTTGTTTTCTTTCACGTCTTCAACATCTTCATCCTCTTCCAACAAAAGCATTGCCATGACGAGAAGCTCTTCGTTCGACGCCATGTTGTTGAAACAAAACACCGACAGGCGACAACACTGATTAGTCCCCAGTTTTTTTGTTAATGATTGCGACGCGACTGCATATTCGTTGCACGTGTCGCCACTTCGCTTGCGCTGGCAACGCAATGAAATTTGAGTCGTTGTCTCACTTGTTGCATTGCTCGCGCAAGAGAAAAATCGCACGTGTCTCCCGGCCTTAAAACGCATGGTCGACTTCCTCGTCTGATGATTGACTCTCATCTGAGTCGCTATCCTCCTTGCTATTGCTTGGATTCAAGCCCGGTTCGGGTTCAAATTGATAGGGTAATACCTCTTCTACTTGGTTATCCTGGATACTTTCCATTTATGAAATCAAGTGCTAAATACTTCACTAAAAGTTCAAAATGGCTATATGCACGTATAAAATATATATGTTGTTTTGATCTACCCTGCACCGTCACCGTCACGACGTCACAAGTGTCAAGTTACCAAAAGAGAATTTTTTTGAAAATCAGTCCAAGATGGCTGATGGACTGAATGCTTATAATAAATTAACTCGAGAACTAATCGTTCTGGTAAAAAATAATACCATATTCGTAATCAGGAGGTCAAATTTACCTGATTGCAAGCATAAAAAAAATTATTAGCAATACCCTTTAAGAAAACCTTAAGAAGAACAAAAATTGAAGCAGCTCATGGGCCTAAGCTGCCTGGCCAAAGTGGTTCTGGGAGGAAAGCTCTTTTTGTTAGAGAAAAATTTGAATGCGCTGAGTTGACGGGAACAATAGCAAAAAAAAGCAATAGGACACTTGACACATTGTTGTCAAATCTAAATGTACATCACCACAACAAGAAGCAGACAATGCAACTAAAAACGGTGGTCTTGCAACCAAACAGAAATGTAAAAACTTATGAATCATTTGATGATATGACAAAGTACTTACCACAAATATTCCAAAGAGATGGCTGATAAGTCAGAAACGGTTTTAAATCTAAATTCCTTTTTTTAAAACAATCTAATTTAGTATCCATTAACTCTAACAACCTCCATGTTGGAAAGTCCTTAAAATCAGGCAAAGGCTCAATTGTGAATATAATTATCTAAACAATTTATTCCATTATGGTACCTTAATGTATGTTTGCCAAATGGTACAAAATATTGAACCAGTAAATATCACTTTCACATCTCAAATATCATGTTCGTTTCTGTAAACATTTTTTTAAGTCGAATGCAAATTATCAAAGTTGAAAGAACAAAAAGAACATTCAATTGTCAAGCTCCAAATACAGCTGCATTTTTCGTCCAGTATGATAGTTTTGTTTATAATCTATGGGGATAATTTATCCTGCAGTAATTTATGCGATAATTTATTCAAGAGGTGAATAACTTTCGGAATTTTCCTGCTAAAATTTTATTATTAAATGTTTTAATAAAACAAACATCACCGATCATGGCAAGTCGGTGGCTACCAAATACTGAAGATTTTTTAGTGCCTTATATCAATGCATCCAAAGCACCCAGCAGTAATTGGAATTGGGAAGTGGTGAAAATGTTGATTATAACTATGGGTTAAGGCGTATTCAAAATTATGAGCCACATTTGGATGCTATAATTGCAAGATATCAGAGGAATAAAAGTTGGTTTCAGTCAAGAACCTTGTGACGCTTCAACAAGGCTTAACGTCAATTCATAGTCAACTTGATAGTCAACATCTTGCTCGTTATTGAATGGGGAACCATTTGGTTTCTAGGGAGCCACTTGAACCTGCAGTTATCTCTTGGCTTTTCATGGACTAATATAAGTTCATTACACGGAACCTCTTCAAGAACAATAAGAAGACATAGGCAAAAGTTGTGTGTAAGCATACGCTCCTACGATTGTGTTACAAGATGCAGATTTAGACAATATTGTTGGCGAGATTATAGAAACTACTCCACAAGCTGGAAGAAATTTAGTTTGAGGATCGTTACAAAGCAGAGGAATTCCTGTTCAAAGAAGACAAATAGTGGAAGCAATACAAAGAGTAGACTCTGTGACACCTACATTGAGAGAAGGATGGCAAATAGTAAGAAGAAGCTATAGTGTACCTTGCCCATATTTTCTCTAGTAGGTTTTACTTCTAGTAATACTAAAAGTAAAGACAGTATTTGCATTGTACATAATACATATATGTTATTTGCTTGAGGCTGCTGGGGGGGAGCTGGAGGTATGCTCCGTGAAATATTTTGAAATTAGTATACAAAAGTATGTACTAAAAATTCTGTAACAAATTAATTAGTCTATCCACTACCTTTCATTCCAGGCACTTTGATAGGGATCACAAATTGGGATGTCTAATTAATGTTGTACAGTAGACAAAGAAGTAAATAATACTAATTACGTCAACAAACTAATACCCTGTGAATTAATCAATATAAATAACAAAAATGTTCAGATAAGACTCTAATGTAACTAAATTACAGTTTTTTCAATTTGTAACTTATTAGCACAAATATCTGTAATAGTTTGGAACAGAAAGTTAGATTTTCAAAAATCAAACATATAAACATCAATCTTTTAGGTGCAGTCAATAGCTAGATCCTGCCAAATCCAATTTTTCCATACTTAACAGCAACATCCATTTTTCCTTGAAAAACCTCATATATACTATGGATTGTTGGAATTGCTAGAGAATTGAAGCAGGTCTCTGCAATAGCCAACTCTTTTGAGGTCTCTTTACAAAGGAAAGTAATACTAAGTTTTCCAATCATCGGTAAAGAAGGCCAGCCTGTCCAGAATTGAAGTAGGTCACCTAGACATTCCTGATCTGGCTCTTCTAAAAATGTATATAAATTATAATTTTATAGACGTTCTGCTAAATAAGGCATTGGGGCCCAGTCTGGCGGTCTTCAAAGTTCAAACTGCATAAACCCCCCCCCCCATAAATAATGAACCTTACCTTAACTTCTAACTACTATAAAGTGTTTATCCAATAACTGGCAATACTTTTTGTCTAATTCTCTTTGTCTATTACACTAACAGATAGAATGTGGAAGCATGCCCATTGATGTGGAAGCATGCCCATTAATTGGTTAACATTAATTTGATGGGTTCATTTGTTAACCATTAATTTGAAGCACTCTTCCATGCTCTTACAAGTAAAGTACTACAGCTGGTGCATCTCATTGCATTGCCATTTCGAGTTAAGGAATATTGAATAGTTAACATCAAGGCTGGCAAGAGCATCTACTTTTGCGCCCTTGTGATCCATACTCACTTCAGATCCCCTTGAACACTCCGGGCCCTGGCAATTTTGCCCCCCTCCTCTATTAAATGTCATAATTTATTACCTCTGACTAATTTCTTCAATGTACCTATCCATGAAATTTTTAGAGACCAAAGCATCTGGATTGTGCATATATCCTAGCTCATACTACACCATTTTCTTCATTTCAACGGGAAGAGATCTCTTACATCGTCATGCTGGCTCACCAAATTGAGCAGGCTCACTCCCATTGAGCTATTTGACATAAGGCCTTGTCTAAGGTCATGAAGTAAAGGAATTCGCTTGGTAATCACCTTGTGCACCAGACAGCATTCAAAAGCCATATGTTTATTGTCATCTGTTATTTGAATATGAGGGAAACCAGATGATGCAATTGTATCAGCAATGTTCAATGGGTCATCAGAATCCATAAACTTGTTTAAGTCCTGGCCATTGCATGATAAGAGCTAAATAATTATATGTATATAATTATATTTGATGTTACCATTTTATCAAATGTAAATTTACATTTTCCACTCCTTCAGTAGGGGCACTTTAGGGTTATATAGACAAACCACTGTTTTGATTATACAAATTTAGTTCTAGTTCTTATACCATTTGTTTGTTTAAATTCCCATGCATAGACAAACAATGAACTATTAAACAATTACATGTAATTATATAATGTAATTATGTAATATAGAGTTATAGAATTAAATATAAAAACTAATTATAACACTATCTCTCTGAGTCTTTCTCTAAGGCAGGGGAACTGAATCTCTCTTCCCACTAACAGGCAAAAGTAAATCTCTCTTCCCACTAACTACGTAATCTACTGTGGTAGGTGAAAGACCACTAACACCCCTACAGTGGTTCAAGATGGAATGTAAAATCATTCAGCCAACTAACTTCATCAGATTGCCAGATATGATGTTGTAGTCAAATTGTGTGAGTAGGTGCCCCTTTTACCCTTCAAACAACCATTGTCGGACCACCTGCATCTATGCCAAGTTCAGCTGTTCCAGAACTTCTAAAGTGAACCATCAATGGATTTCTTAAATCAAATATAGGATTTTTGTATTTTTGGACAACCTTATAATACTTAACGCTTATAATATAATATAATATAATATATCGCTTATAAGGCTTATAATACTTTGTTCCCTTATGATATGTAGTAACTGTTGCTCCTCATGTGGCTTTACAACATTTCTTCTGAATTTCTTCAATGATTCTACACCACTCAGCTTTCGGTACTTGGCAGCTGATAAAGGCAGCCTCCAAATTTCATCTAAAACTTAAAGAAACATTTAGAAATGTGATAGCTAGATGAAATTTATTGATAATTTATTGAATATATCACTGAGAAATCCATTAGTCCTTGAAATAACTGCCATTTTCATAGTAGTAGCATTACCTTAATCTTCTATTGTGCTCTTGCCATCCAACAATAAATCTATGGCTTCCTGTAATGTCCCAGACTGGGAAGAAACAGAAACCAATTCAGAGTATTGTTTTTGTGGAGAGATTTCCTGCAAAGTTTTAACAATCTCATCATTTTGGTCTTTGGTTGTGCCATTTGAATCCTTAGGCTGTGAAATAACTTCTAACAAATTTGAATCGGGTTGGGTGTTACATGGAGAACTTGTTTGCTGAACTTCAGCTGTGATTCTGTACAGGTGCGGATCTAGGATTTTTCATACCTTAGTCAAATTTTATGACGTCATTTATGACGTCACGCATGACTCATTTAAAGATGTTCGATTTTTTAAATGATAGTCTTGAGACTACCAGCTGAACTGCTTCGCCCCATATTAGGGCTCATGAGCATGCCTAGGATACACTTTTAAAAATATACGCTAATAATTGTTTTTGAGATGAAATTGAGGGGAGAATCTACTTATTCCCAAAGTATTCCTTAGTCCCTACTTTGAGTAGCCCCAACTTTGAGTATTATTGTTACCTACTAGTACCAGGGCCGAAGCTGAAGCATTAGAACTTAGGAGAAGTAGGAAAATATTCAAAACAGGAAATTAAAATCACGCTAGATCAAGTATCCATCAATTATATCGCGGACTGACGGCAGAGTTACAATGTCAACATCATGATGTATATTCACTTATAATTTTTATATGAACGTATTTATACATGTGATATACATCAGGAATACGAATAATAATAAGTAACTAAAAGTGAACATGCTAAGTTTGTGTCTTTCATATCATATTTAAGTTATATATTCATATATAGTAACCCTTGACCGGCCAGCTATGCCTGCCCGTTTGTAGCAATATTTAATCCGTAGAAATGAATATGTATTCCGATAACTAATGTTGATGTTCACGTTAAAATATCTCTGATCCAAATAATTATATGCCTGCCCGTTTGTAGCAATATTTAATCCGTAGAAATGAATATGTATTCCGATAACTAATGTTGATGTTCACGTTAAAATATCTCTGATCCAAATAATTATTCGAATATTTTCAAAATATCATTTAAACTTTTTCAAAATATCGTTTAAACTTTTTCAAAATATCGTTTAAACGTTTTCAAAATATCGTTTAAACATTCTCAAAATATCGTTTGAACTTTTTCAAAATATCATTTAAACATTCTCAAAATATCGTTTAAACGTTTTCAAAATATCGTTTAAACTTTTTCGAAATATCATTTAAACTTTTTCAAAATATCGTTTAAACTTTTTCAAAATATCATTTAAACATTCTCAAAATATCGTTTAAACGTTTTCAAAATATCGTTTAAACGTTTTCCAAATATCATTTAAAATTTTTCAAAAAAATATCACTTCAAAGTGGAAACATCCTGGAAGCACCACACCAAACTCCCGCCAAAACTTACATGTATGGTGTTCGGACGATTCTTTTTGCAAAGTAATACGAACGGAGAACGAAAAATATGAATGAAGAAGTAAAACAAAAGGTTGCCAAACTGTTGGATGAAGCTTCCAAGCTTTTAGTAAGTGCCGATTCACAACCAAGTAATATCAACAACCCTACTCCAAGAAGCAATGCCGCCTCCAGCGGATCCAGCACGGCCTCAAGTTCTTTATCATTTCCAGGGGCGAAACTACTGGGGGGGTTTGGGGGGGTGTCTCACCCCCCCAATCTCAATAATGTTGATTTCGTCGGGCAAATATGTTGAATCTCGTCGGGAAAATGTTGCCTCGAATATTGAATCTCGTCGGGAAAATGTTGCCTCGAATATGCTGAATTTCGCCGAGAAATTATGCCTGAAATTTCCTGTAATTACATGTTTTATGATCTGTCAGTGAATTTTGTGCTCAACTGAGAATCTTTTTGTTATGAATTTAAACTTTGAAGCGCTAGAGTGTACGAGGTTTTGAAAGCGCTAGACCGTAGCATCTTATTTACGGTCTAGCGCTTTCCTTTGTCATGAATAAACTGATTACAAACTCGTGTTGTTAAATAACTTCGCATTAAAGTTTGACGTTTAGCGCAACGTGTGAAAGTTTTTGGAGGCGTATTGTTCAACCTAAGGTATTCAACTGAGTTATATGTTTATAATTAATACAACAATTGCTACAGGCGTTTTTGAAAATTGATGCACTTATGCAATGCCAAAAAAGCTTTTCTACATGACTGCAATATTTGTATTTCAGGCAAGATAACCTACGGCAGTATGCCAGCATGGGCCGTACGGTTTAAATCGGTAACGAAGGGCATGGACCGCATGGTTGGGTTTAAGATTAAGAAATAGTTAAAAACTCTGCAGTGTAGAGAGTAGGACGAAATGGATGGTGAGTTGAGGCACATTTGCACCAAGCTTTCATTCATTTCACAGTTCATCAGTATATATTGACGTTAATCGTAACCTGATTTTTAACGAATTCAGACCAAGAACCAATCGCGAAGAAACCAAAAATTCGGCACAGGCAAGCCAGGTATTACAGACATAAAGTGAAATGCACGTCGTGTAATATAGAAATGAACAGTGATCATTTTCCCAAACACAACTTGAACAAGCATTGTGGAAATGCATCTTCAGAAGCTATCCGCGAAGCAGGTCAAACGACTCTTAATTTTTTAAAGGTATGTAATCTTCCTTTGCTTTCACCCGTTGTATGAATAGGAATCAACTTAATATATTAACAACAAAATTTTGTTAATTAATCATGAGAACGCTTAACATACATGATAATTAGAAAGCTATAAATTGTATACCTTTTCTGTTTTTCTTGTAATTCATAACAGTTTATTTTAGGAAAGGGTCAAAGAAACTGAAATTTATGCCAGAGCAAATACTGGACACGGAGTGGAGAACGCAATTGAAGGTGCACATGAAGGCAACATTGAACGTTGTGAGATTCGTGAAATGACAACAAAAGATGGCGTGGAGAATAAAGACGAAAATGAAACCCATAAAAGTTGTGATTATTCCATTCAGAACAGTAAAGATGATGACGTTCAAGACGAAGATGATTTTATTGATGTAAACGAGAGTGATGGTAATGACAGCCCCATAGATGATGATTCTATTCAGAACAATGAAGACAAAGATAATGAAAAAGAGGAAAATGAAGAAGCAGATTAAGCTGTTGTCACTGGATCAAGTGCAAGAGGGGGGAGAAACGAAGACGTCGATGCAATGTCAAAACGAAGTCATGAAACATTATTGACCAACTATGCAGCACGTATTAAAGTACTGATAGGACTTGCTTGCCAATGTGATAGTATCATGACAGACGCCATAACATCAGAAATTGTCTACCCTCAAGTTATCTTGTCCGATGTACTCGATGCTGTTTCAAAGGTGAAAGATATTGCCACTAAAATAGTGAAAGACTGTCAAGATTCGCTCGAGCAAATAAACCAGGAGAAACTAGACATTGGGCTCCCTCAATTGGATAATGAATTCACCTCTCTGTTTGATCCTGCCGACCGACCAAAAATTTGAGTGATCTTCAAAAGCAGAAGATAATCGAACTTGGACCGCACCAGCCGAAGCTGAAATCTTATCCAACTAACCAAGAGATTTCGTCCGGAAAACAATGTCGTTTCGTATTTGGATGGTTCAAGGAATATCCCCATTTGGAATACAGCACGAAGAACGATACAGTTTTCTTGTTTTGTTTGTAGTTTTTTCCACTAACCTGGAAGAGAAAAGGCTGCAGATGCTTGGATAAATGGTTTACGATCATGGACAGAATGAAAAGTTTGGGAAAGGACAACAGGGGAAGATGGCAAAACACTTTTCAAGCGAGGCACACAAGGCTGCACTGAGCGATCTTGCTCAATACACAGACGGCATGAGACATGTTGACGTTTTGCTAAACAAACGCTTACTTGCCGCTAGAGTCCAGGAAGAAGAAGACAACATCAGGAACGAAGAGATTATCAAGATTCTTCTCGACATTGCTAAAACACTGGCTAGGCAACAAATCGCATTCCGAGGTAGTCAGAGTGATAACAATGGGAACTTCATCCAGATCGCATATTCATTGCACGTCACAACCAGCACCTTCGTTATTGGCTATCAGATGAGAGACAAAACCTTATTGTGTCAAATATCTATCTTCTGAGTCACAAAACGAGTTCATAAATATTCTTGCTGAAGATGTCAAGAGCCGTATCGTTAGCGATGTCAATGCTTCGGGTATGCACTCCGTAATGGCTGATACATCACCAGATACTGCAAACACTGATCGGCTTGTTGTTGCTGTAAGATATATCGATGAAGATAATCATCCACGAGAACGAGTGCTAGAAATGAAGGAAACCACTGATAAAACTGGTGAAGGACAGGCAAAGATATTTTTGAAGTCCTTGAATTCAAAATATCTAAAGAAAGAAGACCTGGTATATCAGTCATACGATTATACAGCTTCTATGTCTGGTGTATATAGAGGTGCCCAACAATGTTTACAGGATTTGGTAGGAAGAAGCATTCCTTATATTACCTGCCAAGGACACAGGTCTAACACGTTTAATGAGCATATACATCCAATGTACAACTGGTTGCATCCATGTATACGTTGCTGCAGGAATTGTTCGTATTCTTTAGCCAAAGTTGCAAACGTAACATTGTCCTTCGCGATCACCTTAAGACCGTAGAGAATGCCTTAAAATTGCGAAACCTTTCTAAAACTCGTTGGGTATATCGAAGTCAGTCTATTGACGCTGTTTGGATGTCTTTCGAAGCAGTAAAAGATGCGTTGAAGTCAGTTTCCCTGCTGGAAAATGTAGATGCAGCGACAAAGACCAAAGCGTGTACTCTGCACGACAATATGCTGAAATTCGACTTTATTTTTACTCTTATGTTCATGCGCCCAATAATGAAGAAGACAAAGATTTTGACGATGGAGATGCAGAAGGAAGCCCTCAATATTTTAGATGCGCTGATATTGGTAGAAGGGACAATTATCTCCTTGAAAGCCATCAGAGAAAGTGAGTCAGAAATGGATGACCAGATTGAAGCCAGCATTCAATTTTCCAAACGCTTTGGTACTGACCCAGAGAAAGAATTTAACCGTCATCACAGACCGAGAAGGATGACAAGAAGGCAAGACGACAATCCAGATTCTGCCGTAACAATTGCTTTCACACATACTACCGAAAGGTTATCATAGAAGTGATCGATTCTCTTATCACTGAGTACAACGACAACGTAAAGCAGTGTCTGGAAAAGATAAAACCTTTGGCGGAGGTTCTTCGTCCCCATTACAAAAGCCAGAGATTCAGCAAATGAATAAAATATCGGAACTATTTCCACCATCAGCGGCAATGAATCCAGAATGTCTTCACGCAGAATTTGAAATATTCCAGCAACGGGTGGACAAGTTAGACAACTCATGCAATACCGTTGAAGACGTATTTCAACAAGCGTATGCAGACAAAGAAATTTTCCCAAATGTGTACACATGCAAACTTCTCTTCACAGCTCCTGTGAGTGTCGCTAAGGATGAGCGAACATTCAGTAAGATGAAAATTGTAAAGAACTTCTTGAGATCCACAATGAGTGACCAGAGACTAGATGATTTGATTGTTCTTGCAACTGAAAGAGATCTGGTGGACTCCATTGATATGAATGAAGCCCTGAGAAGATGGGCAAGTCACAAGAACAGAAAATTGAAGATAATGCTAAGTTAAAAGTTCAGAAACCCAAACACTATGCATGCTAAACTATTCTGAAAGTATTTCAAACGCACCGTTAAGACTTAAGAAAATGTTAAGCATTAAAGTTTCTATTTTTCTGGCATAAATTATAGTTTTAGTGTTAAAGCAACTATAACTCGTTTCTAATACTCCATCAAACCACGCCTTGTTTGTCGGGAGTCTGCAAAACCACGCCCTTTTCGTCGGGCAAAAGCAGCTCACACCCCCCCAATTGTAACCCCCAAGTTTCGCCCCTGATCATTTCCATTGGGGGAAACGCTTCAGAGAGCACGCGGTATGTTACAAGCAAGTTCTTCGTCTGGACTTTTCAGACGGTTGAATAGAACTGAAAGATTAAGAGCATCGTCTCCTTATCAGCAAAACCGACAGTCGAAAACTAAGCCATCTAAGCAAAAAGTGAAGAAAGCGATGGAGTTTTCATTGCTTAGATGTTGGGCGGATGATGATGAGGATGAACCGCATCATCTAAAGTGGGACTCAGTCCTGGCAAGTGGGATGCTGACCATTGATGAAGACGACAACGAAAAAAGCATCAGAAAGGCCATAAAAGATTCTCTTGCATCAAAAATTCCTGCCTTGGGTGATAATGATTTTGAGTTTGTCAAAATTAGACACAAGGCAATCACAAAGCTTGAGCTGGGACCAGGAACAGAATTTAATTACGCTGTAGTAAAAAAAATGGCTGGTCAAGGACAGATTTATGTCAAGGTGAAGCAAGGGTATGACTTCCTGTATGACTTAAATAAGGATGATGATGATGATGATGAGTTATTGAAGTCGTATGTGGAACCTGAAATTGAAATTATTAATGTTGATGCAACAAAGACAACAGAAAGTGCAGTTACCGCTCATGCTGGTACACAACAGCCTACAGAAAAAGATCCTGAGACTATAAAAACAATACAGCTCAACCAGGAAGAGACCTCACCCTGTGCCAATCTTGTTGATAACCTCATTGATGAAATAACAAGTCAAAGTCTGCATGACCCAGTTGAAATCTTACGTTTCTTACAAAAGAACTTAGTGAAAGGAAGAGTGTTAGATGTTGAAGATACATCAGAAATCCCAGAAGGTGAAACTAACTATATTTGTGTTGATAGACATAATATAATGGGATCCACATTTTCAGAGCTGGAGGCAATACAAGATTTTCATGTCACATTTGAAGTTGACTTTATTGGTGAAATGGCTAAAGACGTAGGAGGTCCTAGAAAAGAGTGGATTCGTTTAATGAATGCAGCCATGAAGGACAAGTACTTTGACAAAGGTCTCCGAGAGTATCTAGCTGATGATTACTATTATGTGGGCATCATGATTGGTATTGCTTTGCTCCAAAATGGCCAGCTGCCAACCTTTATGCCCCATGATGTCATTGAGAGTCTGGTCTCACCCAATTTAAATCCTTGCATTGCTAAATTAAGAGAGGGTCTAAATGTTTTTGGCCTTGCAAGGATAATGGAGAAGTTCCCCATCCTGCTCCATTTACTCAGACACAACAACCAGACATTATCAGCAAAGATGGTTCTTAAATTGTTGGCACCCACTTTCTCTGAAGAAGGATCATCCATGTATTTTAAGGAAAAGGCATTATATGCTTTGTTCGTGAAGTATGTAAGGCAGGTTGCTAGTGGTAGGAGAGAACCAATTACTTTAAGTTCTCTCTTAATTTTTGCAACCTGTGCTTCTGAGGAACCACCACTTGGATTTGTTGTTCATCCATCAATTACATTCACATGTAAGGATGAAGAGCCAATGAAGGTATGTACAGCATCTTCCAACAATATACAAATGGACAGGAATGTTATGAAGTACTCTTTGAATGCTTTAATTAATTGATTGGCAATGAACATGACAGTGCAAAATTATTGCATTAATTGTTACATCAGGAGTAAAGTTGTGAAGAGAAAAATAACAACTTGCTCTGTGATTCATGGTTTGTTAAATAATAACTTGTAAGCAGAACTTTATTTTCGTTTGTTTACACCTTCTGGCAAAAATTTGACTGTAAGATTTTTGTTTTTTTCTATGAACCACAAAGTAAATCAGTTAACTGATTTCTTTAAAAAACAATTTTAGGCAGTATTATGGGCTCCTTTTAGTCATATCAGTTAACCATCAAGCGTTAACTTTGCACATGAACTCCCATTAAACCAGACAAAAATAGTTTACATCCAAATTGCAGGAAAGAAAAGGGAAATAAGGCTCTGCTAAAACAGGCACCCTAATTTTCTTTAATTCTTTCTTTATTTTTAACAGGTATCAAGCAAATATGAATTTATACCAAAGGCTCACACCTGTACTAACAACATGGTCTTATCCATAGGATCAATCACGTCTGAGTTACCAAGTGAAGAAGAACTTTTTGAGGTTTTTGATTTTGCTTTTGCGAATGCTCACTTTGGAAATGCGTAACTGAGCGTACACTACTACCCAAACACATTGTTGTTTCATATTATTTGATAATACATCATTAACAATTTATCAATACTGTTAACAAAAAATCATGTGGGCAGTCAAAGTCAAAGAAGCCAATAGTTAAACTACACTTATGTTATTACTAAAGTTACCTCTTCCTGTTTATAGTATTACATGCCTAATTCATTAAGACCATTGATTAAGAATTGTATTCAACATATGCATTGATCTGAACATCACAGAAGTGAATTGAATGTCTTAGACTTTGAGTTTCCCACATGAATTTGATTTTAGGTTTCTAGTTCTTGTGTTAACATTTCAAAGGCATTGAAAGACCAACATTTTAGTTCTGTACATTGCAGAATTGATTGTCTGTTATATCATTTTTTCATGGTTTTCTATTTTTATTAGTTGTTAGATTTTAAGAAGTGATTTTTTAAACACACACTAATTTCTAATTATATAATGTTTCATAAACTTTGATAAAAGTTGGAAAAAACTTTGGAAAAAACAGGTTGTGTTCCTATTGGACAAAATTGCATTTAAATGTACTCCTCAAGATTTTGCACAACTAGAGCTAAAACATCAGCATAAACATCCATACCAGCTTTATCTGATGGTCTATTTAGATTAATTTGCTGCAAAATTGAATCAGATATTTCTCTCTCATTTATTATTTGCACTGGTTCAACAACAACACCTTCATCATCTGACAAAGGACGTGGGCCATCAGGATCTTCACCATAATGTTGATCAACAACTAAGTCATCCAATCCATGACTAAAGCGCAATGGATTGTTTTCATTTAGCATTCCATTTAGCCAGATCTGGTTAGGGCTCCAACCATTTTCAGTTGAAAGTCTATGGTTATTAAACATTGCAGCAAAATCATCTAAAGCAGTATTTATTCTACTTGTGAATACTTGGTGTAATGCAAACATATGGATTGGGTTTTCAATATCCAAAATTGCTGTCTGTTCCATAGCATAAAAAGTATAGTAAAAGAAGTGGCAAACACATCTAAACACGTCGCGCCAAAGTCTCTCAATTCTTTGATTACTTGTTGATGAACCAGCTATGTAACTTCCTCGTCCTTCGCCCCGCTGGGAAACCATCTCATCGCACACCAGCACATTTTCAACACCATAATCCACACGGACACGAGAAGGCCATAATCCCTCATTTTCATTGATAGCTCTTAGAAATAAATTCAGGACAGTTTCTGCACGGTTATTTGTATTGCACTTCAAATACATAATTTTTCTGGATTTACCATCACAGCAGCCATGTATGACAAACTTCCATCTGATGAGGGAATGGTGGCCATCTAAGTGCCAAAGGGAATTTGGCCAACGTACAAAGTATTTTCGTCTTGAAACTAGAGCACCCCAACGTAACGCAGAGTGTTCAGGATCTACCCTGTTCAGCGACGCTCTAATTCTTCGCCTTTGTATATGAAGGCCTAAAGATCTAAAGTAGCCAGACATGAATGGTTCACCAGTGGTTGAACCATGCCGGGAAATGTACTCCCTTACAATTTCGTCAATTTCCTCATCCGAAATTATGGAAAACCTTTGTAAATTTGAAAGGTTATACTCGTTGACACGACGCATAATAGTCCACCTGGATACGCGAAACATACTGGAGATCTTGCTCCAAGAAAAATTAAGACCTCGCAATTCTATCAAAGAGTCCTTTGGAATGTAATAACACGGCCTGCCAGGACGTTTAGTTTCCTCTATTAGTGGTGGCAGATGACATGTAACAGTAATTCGGGTCGCTTCGTGATGGAAGAGGCGAATGAATTCATTTTCAATTTTACAATAAATGTCGATCAATTCCCGCCATTTGTGTGAGTCAGGCTCAGAAGCACAGTGAACTGCAGGAGCATCCACAAAATCTTTGATTTCATTCAGTAACTGTACGGTCTTACCAAGTAAATCAATGTGTTTCAATAATTCAGAGAGAAAATTATCCGAAGCGCTTGTGTTTTCCAGCAAACGAATTTCTTCAGATCTGTTTAAAACAAAAGCTAAAAACTGTTCGAGTTCATCGGCCATCATAGATTGAAACACCGGTGGTTATTATACAAGTGAAGTGGTTTCGATTTTCGACTCGGCGGGGGCACAGCGTGGTGCACTGGTGCTTCCAGGGTGTTTCCACTTTGTAGTGATATTTTTTTGAAAAATTTTAAATGATATTTGGAAAACGTTTAAACGATATTTTGAAAACGTTTAAACGATATTTTGAGAATGTTTAAATGATATTTTGAAAAAGTTTAAACGATATTTTGAAAAAGTTTAAATGATATTTTGAAAAAGTTTAAACGATATTTTGAAAACGTTTAAACGATATTTTGAGAATGTTTAAATGATATTTTGAAAAAGTTCAAACGATATTTTGAGAATGTTTAAACGATATTTTGAAAACGTTTAAACGATATTTTGAAAAAGTTTAAACGATATTTTGAAAAAGTTTAAATGATATTTTGAAAATATTCGAATAATTATTTGGATCAGAGATATTTTAACGTGAACATCAACATTAGTTATCGGAATACATATTCATTTCTACGGATTAAATATTGCTACAAACGGGCAGGCATAGCCAGCGCAGACATATGTAAATTTATATTTGAATACTAAAAGAACTAGCCATGCTTGTTGTTGTTCGACAATCATTTTGCCGATTTGAGATCTAAAAACACAGTTATATAGAGGCGTAGAATGTAATAAACAAAATATATAGTTAGCTCATTGCAGTACAAGCCTTTTTCTTGCCATTACGAGCGTGCTTCGGCGCATATAACTCCACACAAAAATCTGAGCTTCGCCTTGAGCGACGAGCGTGTCGCCTTCATAAATACAAAGATCGAAACGTCGCATAAATATCGCGTCATTTAGACACTCTAAATCGTTCGAATGGCTCGTACAAATCACTACAAGACGAAGAAGACATTGTAAAATAACACAATAACAAAGCGAACGCGAAAAAGCAGAAGCTAACTTCGAAATTTAATCCTTCGATGCTCAGAGCGATTGAAAAGGCATGTTTCCACTCTTTGCCTAGTCTTCGGCCTAACATGACTAACACAGGCATGCTTACGAAGCACAGTGATTGGCTCAACTCGCCAAAGATAGGCAAAATCTGCAAGCCAATGAAAGAAAAGGATTTAAAAAAAATAACCAATCATAAGGCTTCCTGATTACGTCAAGTTAGGCAAATTCGTCTTGGTTAGGCAAAAAAGCTATTAGCCAATCAAAAGGCTGTATCGGCCGCCAGGCATAGGCAAAATAGCTGCCTCTCATTGGCTTGCTTCATGGCTTGCCTAAATACCAATGAGCTGTATATCAATAAATAACTGGACTGTGATATGAAAATATGAACAATGAACTGCATGTTTCCACTTATGAATGAATACTTTGGGAATTGGGAACTGGGAATTTTGTAATTATTATCTGGATAATTTACCATAGTCACTTGACTATGTTGCCTACCCCTAGATCCGCGCCTGATTCTGTATGAATGAAAACATTGAAGGTAATTACTTTCAAAGACATGAGGAAGCAGAAACTCCACAAATTTAGTACTTTTCCTCATCTCAGAAACATGAAACAGCTCAGTTCATTTAGAAAAAAGGATAACTGTGTATACCTTGCTCTAAGTATTCACCTTCCTCAAAAAATTCATTCTTTGCTTCCCCTTGAATCTTGATAAAAGAAAAGAGTTACAATTTATATTCAGCAGGTTCTCAATGGCAGCTGGTTACTGGCAATTTCCTACCAGATATTTAACTATTCTGCTTCTAATTACTTCTTTTCTATACAACCACTTAACCTTTCAAAAAACTTCCTACCCTAAATGTTAATGAAACCCATGATTCAGAAGATTTTAGAAAAATATATGCAATTAATCTCCTTGAAAAACTTCATCTTCGTGATCTTGGAGGATGTGTTGTCATAAACAAAATGAAACTAATTGCTAACTTCCGCACCATGTAAGGCCATGCATGAAGATGCATGGCAGATATACATACTTTAAACAATCAGTGCTGTCATTGAATTTCAATCATTGGGAGAAAGCAATAAAGACCTTTCAGAACTAATTCTTAATTCAAATTCTCATGTTCACTTACCACACAAGAAAGTGATTCTAAAGTTTGAATGTATACAGGACCATTCCCAGTAACATGCTTTAAGATTCGTCCACTAAGTTGTTGTCCTGGCGGTAAATTGATAGCAGTAAGTTTTGTTCCAGCTGATTTAACAAATTCAAACATAAAACAATGGATTATAAATATTACACAAATTGCTACTTACAGTATGACAGTAGATTTGTTTAGTAGTAGTGTTGTTTTAATTGGCATTTTGTTATATACTTTAATATGTCTATGTAAAAAATCACTATTCATTCACTATGCACTACAAGCATACATAAGTGAAAAATTGCCATTCAATTTAAATATTTAATTTGAACCATGTGTCTAATAATAGTTAAGCTTAGAAGTTTAACAAGTTATATAGTAAATGTCACACAACTTTACTCATCAGTGCAAGATCAATCCCATCCCTTCAATTCACCAGATACATTTTACCGTCTTCCCAAACCCCTTTTCTGGGGCCTGTTCAACACAAAGATAAGAGTATCGCTCTCCCCCACCTCTATTGCCCTTGGGGATGGTATAAAATCCTTTTTTTTTTTTGGAGTAGAGGGCAGTGAGCACTTTTCCCAACTGATACAGCCTGACTGTCAAACCTCATACCCCCCTCCCTTCACAGCAAATGAATGGAAATTCTTCAGAGTTTCCAGCTCTGTCAGTACTCCAGCTAGCCACCTTAAGAATTGACGTCAGTGGAACTTGACAACTTTTGGCTTTGCTGGTAGATGTGGATCTAGTACTGTGTGGCTTGAAAAGTGATGTGTCTATTCCCGGCAGCTTGCATCATGTCTTTTATCCATCGAGAGATAGACTCCTTAGAGACTTTTTTGTGCTGTCTAATGAAACTGATAAATAATTGTTTCTCATTGCCATGTATGGTTGCCGTTCGTTTGATGTATTCGCCAAGAACGGTAGCTACACACAGTGATTCATCAGATGGGAACCTTGGAATAGAACCAAGACAGGTTGAACTTCGCCAGGTGCCGACTGTTTACCAAGTTGCTGAATATGAAAATTGTATGAATTATGCTCTATATTCATAGTTTCAAGGTTCATAAGATGTAATGACTGGCAACGTTGTCCCGTAACCAGAGCACATAACATAACAAGTTTATGAGTCAGTTGCTGTAATGTTAGCTCTGCAGCAGGAGGGAACCCTGTAAGGTACAGCAGTACAAGCAAGGTATCCCATGTTGATGTGTATCTTGGAACTGCAGGTCTGGTTTGGAAAACTCCTTTCATGAGCCGTTGTACAAGTGGGTGTGTACCAATAGTCGAATTACTGTCTAAAATAATGAACGATGACAAAGCACTCCGGCTGTGTTTAAAGCACTGTAACTGAGTCCCTTGTCATAGAGGTCTTGAAAAAAATCGAGTACTTGACTTACAGCAGGATGAAAGGGATCAATTTTCCACTTACTAGTATAGAGTTCCCATTTTGAGAGATACACTCGGTATTGTTTTTGTGTGCCTGATCGCCAGGATTGAAGAATGGTGCCTTGAACTGCTTCTGAAATTCTTTGACATGAGAGAGATTTCCTGACAATAGACAAGCCATCAACTGAAGTTTGCTTCCCATTGGATGTTGCTCCTCCGGATTGTATGGTAGATGTACATTGCTTTGGTTCCTGGGCAATAAAAGTGGGCAGTGAATTAACAATCTGGTTAATGTAGGGAACCACACCTGAGTTTACCAGTTGGGTACAATTAATATTGCGCGTGCTTGTGTTAATTCTAATCGCCTGAGCACTTGTGAAATTAGACTAAACAGTGGAAAAGCATAAATAGTGTGGTTCCTCCAGTCTACTGTAAAAGCATCTATCTGCCAAGCATCTGGATCAGGATGCCAAGAAACATATGGGGTAAACTGAAAATTGAGCTGTGAGGCAAACATATCAATGTCAGGCTTGCCTAAAAGCCTGACAATTTTGTTAAAAACATCAACATTAAGTTTCCACTCCTTTGAATCATCAAAGGTTCGTGGAGCCTTGTCGGCTATGATATTATGCTTGTCTGGGATGTGACTCACAGTGAGCCTGATATTCCTGTCAAGACACCACTGCCATATATTCCGAGCAACACCATAGCAAGGAATTGAATGAGAAGCCCCCATGTTGCAAATATAGGCAACAGCAGTAGTGTTATCTGTCATAACTTGAATATGGCTATTTGTAAGGCTTTTACAGAGTGATTGCAAGCCTAACAAAATCGCTTTAAGCTCAAGGTAATTGATGTGATGACTTGCTTCAGTCACTAACCACTGTCCCCCTGTTGTGTCAACACTGTTACTCGCCCCCACCCCTTTTTGGGACGCATCAGTGTATATGGCAACGTCAACTTTGCCATGATCAATTTTCTTCTTTGACCTAAGAGCATTGCTGATCCATCAGTTTGCATCAGCTCGTGCCCCAGCTGAAATTTTTATAGGCATGTCAAAATTACCCTTTTGACATCTAAGGGCAGCTATTTTCTCAATTTCTAGTTGGCGGTAAAAATGTTGACCATACTCAACCCCAGGGAAACAAGCCACCATCATCCCTATGATCTGAGCAACTGCTCTAATGCTAGGCATGTCTTGTTTTAGAACCAATAGAATAGCATTGCATAGTTTTTGGTGTTTCTCAGGTGAGATGGACACTGTCATCTCAACTGAATTCAAGACCAACCCCAAATGTTCAATGATTTGTGTAGGGGTTGTAATAGATTTGGTATCATGTGGCATAAAGCCTAAACTTTGAAATGTATGCAGAGTGTCAACTACATTAAGGCTGGCATGCACAAACGGTTTGGCCCATTAACAATGAGTCATCAATATAACTACTTGAAATATAGCCTTTATGTCTAAGATATGAGAACACTGGTGTTAAAAGCTTTGTAAAAAGCCGTGGTGCAGAGGATAGTCTTTGTGCCAAGCAAGTAAATTGGTACAATACCCCTTGCCATTGGAATTTTAAATATTT